GGTTTAGAGGGATATGGGCCAAATGCTGGCAAATGGAACTTGATTAATTTAGGATATCTGGTCATTACAGATGACTTGGATGAAAGGGTCTGTTGCCACGCTGCACAACTTTACAACTTCATGACTCTATAAATTAGGTTGATTTTTAAAACAAAAGTGATGACAATTGTTGTGAGGACTCACATGGTTCTTTAATGCTGTCCAGGGAGGGAAATCTGCTATCCTCAGCTGATCTGGCCTACACGTGACTCCAGACCCACTGCAATGTGTACTCAACCTCTTGACTGCTCCCACAGTCCAAAGATGTGTAGGTTAGGTGAACTGGCCATGCTAAATTGCCCACAGCATCCAGAGATGTGCAAGCTTGGTGGATTAGCCATGGGAAATCTAAGGTTACAGGGGTGGGGTTGGGTTAAGTCTGGGTAGGGTTGGTATGGACTCAATGGGCTGAATGGCCTGCTTCCACACTTCTATACTTGTTGCGTCTCCTTCAGAAAGATGGGGTGCAAATTTTGTAGCATATGGGGGATGGGGAGATATCCAGGGATTTGGGGATGAGGCAAATACAGCACAGCAAGTGTGAGGAGCTGAATGAGCTACTTCTGCTACCATTTCTTACCCCTAATCTCTGCCTGTCTTTCTTGTGACCTTAAGGGCCTGAAATATAATGAATTAAGCAGCACCTCTGACTGACTTTCTGGGTGCTCCAAATTAATGAGAAAAAAATGGGGTGACTGTGTGTGTGTGTGCGTGTGTGTGTGTTTTTGCTATTTTTCCTAACTTGCTTGTAAACACTTTTGGACAATTATTCCAAATTTGTTAGAAATCGAGGGACAAATATTACTTTACCTGGTGCCATGGTTGGAGATGGGAGTGCAGGAAGCCTCCAGGAGGAGGATGCATTTGCATGCAAGAACATTGACTGGTGAGGGGATGGCATTGGGTGAGTGGGGGTAGTTTAGACTGGAGAGTGGATGATGAGTGAGTTGGGGTGGTTTAGACTGGTGAGGAGGTGGCGATGGGTGGGGCAGGAGAATTTAGACTGGGTGAGGGGGTGGCGCTGTGTGAGTGAGGGTAGTTTAGACTGGATGAGGAGATGACGATGGGTGGGGCAGGGGAGTTTAGACTAGTTGGAGGAGAGATGGGTGAGTGTAGTTTAGACCAATGAGGAGGCAGTGGTGGGTGAGGGGGTAGTTTAGGGGGTGGCAATAGATGAGTGGAAGGGTAGTTTAGATTGGTGAAGGGATGGTGATGGGTGTGAGTGGGTGTGTAGTGATGAGTGTGAGTGAGGGGTAGTTTAGACTGACAAGGAGGTGCCAGTGATAAAGTCGGGTTTGAAGTAGTGATTATGTTTGAGAGCCAGAGTGATCACAAGTGTAGAAAAAGGTCCTTCGGCCCATCAGATTCGTGCTTGTCAAAAACAACCACCTGACTATTCTCCTTCCAATTTCCAACACTTGTCCCCATAGGGGGTGTGGTTGCAACTGAACTCTGGAGTCAAAGAGGGTGCCAAGACAGAAAGCAGCAAGGTTCACTCAGAGAGAAGCTGAGCCAGTGGCGAGAGGCAGGAAGTAGTGACGAGGACCTAAACGATGAGTTACTGAAGGTTAATTTATCTTTTTCTGAATGCACCTTTTATCCTAGATTCCACTGTGTGAAGAGTGAAGGAGAGGTGTGGCACTTGGCTGGGTATGGGAACAGTGGGGGATTATGATTAGATATAACTCAGTCCCCATTTGAAAATCATATATTTGGACATTACATAATATGATTATAACACTTAGTTGATAGATGGTTATTACAGTTTCCCAAATGCAGCCTTACAAATGAAGCTTAACTTGTACTGAATACCATTTTGCCACTAGCAGTGCTACAGCGCCTCTCTTGGATGTATCAAGTAATTACAGCATGACAAGTTGACACAAGTCACCCTTCATTATGGAAACAGAAAATGCTGCCAGTCCCCAGCCAATGTGGCAGCAATTGTGAAGGGAGAAAGAGAGTTCACATTCCTTTTTTTTTTCCCAGATGTCTAGCATCCAAACATTTTGCTTTTATCATTGAAAAGAGAGACGTGTTGCCGAGACTTTGCATCTTGTACTCTGCAGGACAAAATGCAAAGCATTTCAAAACGATCACAACAATTTTTCCTGCAGAAGAAGGGGCTGCTGATTGATGTTAGTTAAGTTAATCAGTGGGACTTGTAATATGACTCATTTACGCTTGCTAGAAGTGACAAATATTCATACACAGGGACCATAACAACATGAAACTTGAACACCTTCTCCCATTTTTTGAATCCCACAGGAGCTTGGGGAGCCTATGATTGTTTTGGATTTCTCCATGTCAGTATCTTGGACTTGCCCACCAATCAGCACCCTTCTCTCCTGTGGTACAAACTGTCATGAGAGTTTGAAATTTGGCATTCTTTCTGCAAGATGCCGAACTTCAACAACATGATTCCCTTTCCAGCCATGTTTTGCTTGTTGTTCCCAATATAGATGTACACGCAGCAATTTATAATGGGGGAAATTGTGTGTGCA